CATGCCATTCTCGAGTGCAACGTATACGTTTACAGTTTACGTGGATAGTCGATGACCTCCTGTAATGTAATCATCAGAAAGAGTGGATCTTTTCTTTTTAAAGGGCAATGCCCTCGCAAGAGCCACCGGAACATGTACAATCTCACAAGATGTGTTAAGTAGATTACAGTTGTTGTTGTACAAAAGCAACGTTGAGAACGGCTGTGTGGGCACAAGCCAGCGCTATGGTGACGCCTGTATGGTATTGTGGGTATTTCCCATGCTCCGACGCAGCCTCAACATATTTAAACGTTGGTGATGATTATATTTCCTTTGAAAAATAAAAATCGTGGTGTAACTCTTAACAATCGGATCTATTTCGTGTTAAACTGTGCATATGTCGTAGTGTTTAGCTTGCAAATGCATATTTGGATCATTTGGCGTGCAGTCTGTGAAGCCCACATTGATAACAGACGCAACACGCGTATGATTCGAGGCTGTTTTGGTTTCATTACAAAATGGTTATTTTGTATTCATTTCACAGATAGGCTATTTACGGTGTATGGCAATGTACTTATTATAAATGGAAGTCAGATAGGGACATCCGAATTCCTGGGTAATTATGTGGCTATCATAAGCCAGATTGTGATCATTTCAAAGCTGCTTGTGTTCTAATGGATTTTATTATAAATGCGTATCGGACAAATTGTTATTCAGATTGCACCGTAATGGAGTAAGTTGCCATAATAAACACTGCTAGGTTAGGCAAGCCTGTATGCAGAGTGATGTAATATTAAAGTCCGCGCTCAAATGGCCACGCGATATCATGCTTACCGAATGAGCCTCGTGAATTTGTCTCCACCTGCGTTTCGATACCATGTGGTGAAAATCTCACGCACGACCGCTTGGCGGCTCGGCCATGTCCGAAGCACCCGTGGCCACAGATCCTGCCCTTGAATGCCTTCTTTTAGTTACGGGCCTCTCCCAACCAAATTGCAACTTTAAAGGCACTTGTCTGTCGAAGTTCACTGGCCCGTACCTGCCCAATAGAATTCGTCGCTCCCGGGCCTCGTGTCGCTCACACGTCCCGGCACTGATTGTGTCTGTGACACGCGCGCACGTGTACGGCCACACCCGCCGTGGTGCTTCGGGTGGGGTTCTGTTCAAATCCCAGTCGCGGTCGGCACAGACAATCACTTCTCCGGGGTCGATGGGAAAACATCAACAGTGGTTATCCGATGAACATCCCGCGTTACACCATGGGAATGTGGAGTTTCCTCAGTTGCACGAGGGGCACTTGCCCATTTGGTTGTTTGAATATGCAGGCCCTTTGAATTTGAAATGTATTGCATGTATGTCTGAAACGTGCTATATATTTAAAGTAAAGAACTACATTCACTTATTTGTGGATCTATGTACATTTGTAGAGTGTGGACAAATGTAGGGCGTGTGTTGTGTTCCACGTGTTTGCTTTATAGTTATCCATGTAATATAGCATAACATTTATACATTCTGTGTATTTTACAAAGTAGTGTATCGGTTGTGACATCGTATTTCATGTCAAACTGGGTCCACGTCAGTGGGCTGTTGCAGCACAGCCCATTTTAAGGTTACCATCACATTAGTCTGGACGCATGAGCAATCTCTTCACGTTCACAATGGGGCTCTGGTACAGTCAATCTTTGCAACCAAAAATCGCATTGTCCCAAAACGTGCCCCGGAATTCCCACGGAAGAGATAAGAACACATACGTAGAGTAGTGATCTAGAGGGAAGGTTTATGGGAAAACACTGAGATTACTGATCAGTGGTGGTATGCTTTTAGGTAATTGGCCCCCACGTTTTACTCCGGTGAGCATTACGAAAAATGTGTTCGCGCTCAATTCCTAGTTGGCCCAGCCACTTGCACGGCAGGCAGGTGAAGGCCCACCCTTGCCTTGAGCACGTCTGGTGCTGCTCTGTCGCTCTTGGGATTGAGATGCGTTCGAGATGAATTTGTAGGCAACTTTCCATTCCTGCTGGGAGAGAGAAGGCGGAGAGAGCCCTGCTGGGGAGAGGTGGGTATTTACACGGCGAAACAGGCAGGGCGCCCTTATACCGTCCCGCCGGATCAATTGCAAAACTCCAGTGGCCTTCAAATCTTGTCGCTGTGACTTGCTCTTTGAAGCGAAGAAGATATTCCTGATTTTAAACGTTTCAGTCCACCTAAGTTTCCATGGACCCAAAACAGAATAAAAGTGTGCACACACACACATATATAGAGAGTACACACAGCTCTGCAGCCATGGAACAATCACCCACCCCATTTCCCCACCCCTACGAGGGCAGCGATTAGGTTCCAGCATCTATTTTTCCAGTCTTTATTTTATTCAGTTGACGACAATTAAAGTAACATTACTGTATATTTGCCTGCATCTTTAACCATTGCATCATACACGCACGCTTTTCTGCATGTGTATCATAAGAATATACTGTATTACAGTCGACAAATCAATGCGTCTGTACACTGCTACACCTCTGTCTCACGCCTCGTGGTTTGTGGGCGATTCATTTGGTTGCTGAAATTGCTCGGTGATTGACAACCGCAATCAGTAGCAGCAACAAAAACATTCAGCAGCAGCAGCTGAAGCAGAGCAGTGTTCGTTAGTCCAGTGGACGGCTTACCCAACCCAGCACCTGCCCTCTCTGGCGGCCAGCCTCAAATGAATTGTGTCAGGTCGACCACGGGCCATATGCTCGCCACTTTTACAGCCATAGCCAATGGCTAAAGTGGGTCAGCGAAGGAGGCAGGGGGCCCTCCGAGGGTTGACGTTGGAATGATCAGCAAAAGTCGCGGGGGCGTTGCGGCCACGCGCAAGATTAGCCACTGGAAGCGACGCTTTGTAATCGACCTGTGAGACATTTAGGTGACTGGTCAATTGTTTATCATTTAGAAACACGAGCGGCGATCTGTATCGGCAAGGCCCCAGCTGTACGGCACGGTGGCGAGATGTTAACTACCTCGCCTGGTATACAGGAGGTCGTGGGTTCGATCCCGATCCTGACGCCTGTTGTATATTTGGTGTTTGCGTGTCTCTCTCCCCGTGGCCACTTGAATTTTTCTCCGGATCCTCCGGGTTTTCCGTCCACATTTAGAAACATGCGTTTAGAGTATCTCGCTGCTATATATTTCCACGTGATAAGCCACTTCGTTGAGCTATCAATGATTTGTGGCCAGGTCGCTTCTAGAAAAGAGCTATATATAGCTCAGTGGGTCTTACCTGCTAAAATAAAACATAGTTTAGTTTAAATAAAGGATATAATTGTGCTGTATGTACACATACAGGAAATATGCACAAGTTTAATTCTTATACGTATTGTTACCGACGTAAAACATTCCACGTGTCTAGTGCAGCAGTAGGCCACTAAGAGTTAATGTCTTTTCCAGTTATTAAGTTAGCAGATTGCCCGTCTGAATGATTCCTATAGCTGGGGCGAAGCAGGAGACATCCCATCGTGCCACCTGACAGTTTTTAAATTGGCAAAGGGGGATGATGTTGAGGATGTCAACCCTCTTGTGGCCAATACCATGCCCTCAAACAGGGGAATCCGAACTGCACTCTGTGGGCACCAATTGCTCTGCTGTATTACTTTAGCAGAATGCGATTCACTTGGCACAAGCAACGCGCGTAAGGCCCACAAGGCATCGGGGGATTCCAAAGGCAATCTTGTCGGGGGCAGCCTCATGATTGGCTCAGGAATCCCACAAATCCCTTCACGGCTCTTATGCTTTATGAATAAGATTAAATTAAAATTATATTCATGGATTGCCTCCAACATTCACATTTGGCATTCTTATTGTGATATACACGCTGGAAAACCCATCTTGCATTTTTATTGTCCTTTAATACAGCGGTCCCCAACCTTTTTGGCACCAGGGACCGGTTTCGTGGAAGACAATTTTTTCACGGATCGGGGAGGGGGGGGGGTGGTTCATCATTGGGTTTTTCCCACTTTTCAAAGAAGCTCTCCAGCGACGTTTGTTTTTGACTCATTGTGGCTACTAGGGGTTAGCTTGTGGGCTTACCAAAACTGTGACTGAGACAAGTGTGCAGTGCGGGAAAGAGGCGCGGACGGAAGTGGTAAATAATAAAATAATGGGGGCGGGTCACGCGCGGACTCACCGCTCTCACCTCCTGCTGTGCGGCCCGGTTCCTAACAGGCCACGGACTGGTACCGGTCTGTGGCCCGGGGGTTGGGGACCCCTGCTTTAATATGTAGAATAACAAAAAATGCCCGTACATTATTTTTATTTTGTAGACCCGCACAATCATTCCAGAGATGAAAATAAATTAACATAATATATATTTTTTAAAATTATAACTGTTCACTTATTCACCCAGGGAAGCCTCACTGAGTCTCAAGGACATTTTTAAGGAGGGTCCTGTCAAGTTCTCACAGTAGGGGGTGATGTTACTGCTACATGTAATTCCCAATGAGCAATTTCCAGGTCATGTTGCAGCATTGGGATGTTTTGACCGATACCAGTTATATTGAATGGTTTTTTTCTTTCACTATGGGATGAAACCGGAGAGCCCAGAGGCAAACCCGTGCAGAACAGGGGGTGAACACACAAACTCCAAACAGGAAAGGTGCCGAACTCAAGAATCAGACCCCAGGGCCTTCTTGCTTGTAAGGCACGAGTGTTATTGACATGCCTCCCGAATTTTATAATTTGTCCGAAACGAGCACAGTGACCGCATCGAGCATGATGCAGTGAACTCCCGCCTCGAAAACAATTACACCTGGTGGTGCTGCTGCTACTGCCATTGTTCCCCCTCCGTGATTTATTTGAGAGCGACGATGACTAACGGCGACTAGCAGCTCGTACGAGCGCGCGGGTCTCGCGCCACGAGCGTCGGCACAGGAAGCCGCGGAACAAAAACTGCTATTGTGCGGAGACGCGTGTTGCGATTGTTTTCTTTCATTGCAACCGTGGCTCGCTGTGGCGTCTGACTTTGTTTTTTTCGTGTGTTCTGCCAGACTCCCTGTACAGGAAACGCCTGTCTGTGGATGGGCGGCAGATGAACCTGGAGATTTTTGACCCGTGCTCGCAGGTGAGACGCGAACACACGTAGGCACGAACGTCGGCCAACGTTTTGTGACCTTGTATATGTTACTTGAGTGTGTGTGTGTGTGTATATATATGCTCATTTATTGCATGGGGAGCGGTAGTGTGACGGTTTGCGCGCCACTCTATGAAACCAGCGACGCGAGTTCGATTCCCGCTCACACCGGTGACGATTATCTGAACCGGTCCTGGGCCTCCCCGAGGTCGACTGAGCCTCAAATGAGTACCTGGTGCGGTGTGTGGTAAACGTCGCCACTAGGGGAGACAAAGGCGGCCCGGCGTGGTGCTGGCCACAGTAACCTCCCTCGTGTGCCATGCCGGCCTTCATAGGTGCTCGTTAACAGCACTTGTCCCAACAGTTTGTTAAGGCTATACGGGGGATCTTTGTCTTTTATTTATTATACCTTCAGCACAAATTGAATTTCCACGTTTGTTTTGCTGTACGTTGTTTTCCTGGTTCCGCCCGAGTTGACTGTGATGATCAAGACATCGTATAAGGAAATAAACGTGCTGGGGAAGGGAACCTCTTTTAAGTTTCAGCCCATTGGTCAATCGAAGTACAATGGTCCTATTTAATGTGTTACACGGTACATTGTAAGTTCATACTCGTACATTGACAAAGTATCTATAGTGTTGGACTTTCCATATTCCTATGGTGGGGACATTGCGTTGTAACGGTTCGCACACTTGACTTGCAATCCAGAGAACACCTGTTTCTAAATTAAACTAAACTAGTTTTTATTTTACCAGGTAAGGCCCACTGAGCTATGTAACTTTTTTTCAGAAGCGACCTGGTCACAAATTACAGCTCAGTGAGGTGGCTTATGTGGAAATCTATAGCAGCCAAATACTCAAAATGCGTGTTTTTAAATGTGGAGGGGAAAACCGGAGGACCCGGATAAGAATCCACGCGACCACGGGGAGAACATGCAAACTTCAAACATACAGCAGGCGTCAGGGATGGGATGGAACCCACGACCTCCTGTATACCAGGCGAGGTAGTTAACATCTCGCAACGGTGGCACCCTTTTTCATCTCCATGCATGCCCGTTGATATAATGAGGCAAGTTTCTTAAATCCCCCATCCATCGCTGTCCACCCAGCTGAATAAATAAGTACACGGAGAGTTACCCCCTCCCCTGCAAATATGTTACTCCCGATCCTCATCCCTACGATAGTCGGGGCTGTGAAGAGCCTAAGTGCTTCCAGCAGGTTCCCTTTGTGAGAGGGTTTTTGCCCCGAAATGTGATATTGGCCTGCGTTTCCCCCGTTATGGATGTTTGTATGTTGTGTTCTTGAACAACACAAATAAATAAATAAATAAATCCGCCGGATTTTGCCGATTTGGCAGTTCGGGTGCGACGGGTTCAAGTGTGGCTGCACGATACCTGGCCAACACGGCGTGTAAGAGTGGGCCAAGTTAGGCTCCTAGAGGAGGCTTTCTCGAGCTCCCTTTAGTGGGGAGGCTCCTGCCGTCAGCAGTGGCACGAGCAAGCGGCTGCGGGGGCTGCACCCCCATACCATCTATGGTGGCGGCCAGGCCAATTTGCATGACCGGCCACTGTTGATTCGGCATCACGTGACACAGCCTCACCCAGGTGGTTCTCATTTCGCCGACCCACAGAGGGGGACGGTGGGGCTGAGTGCGAGCGGCTCTGGCTGGGATTTGAGTTCACGATCTCGGCACTGGAAACTTTGCTGCTTCAGTCAGCCAGTTCGTGAACGTGAGGATAGATGGGGGGGGGGGGGTCATGTGAGGCGGGATGTGTAGAACTGTCACGTGCCGTCACATTCTGTTGAATTATAGTTCTTAGAATGTGAACCGGTGTGAAAGCAGTTTGATGGATATGATCTCTTGATGTTTTTTTTAATTACGAAATGAAAGATTGGATAATAAACAAAAAAGCAACAACACAATGTTTCTACAAAAATCAGTTGTTGTCCAAACACTACAATACCATTTTGTTATATTACGTAATAATCGTGTGTTTTTATTACAATGGCAACATGTGAATGGATTGATTTTAATATGAGCCAGGTTTATAAAAATGAAAATGCAAACCCATTTTGGCCAAACGAATGCAGGCCTGAATGGTACGTTTGTTACGGCTCGCAGCTGCACGTACCATGCAAATTAAATTGGACGTCTTGGTTAAATTAGCAGTGTTGAATAACAGCCGTTCATCGCAGCACACAGTATTCCATTATTGCCGCTTTCAGATTACATTATCAGTGCGGCGAACAAGCCATCGGTCAACTTGTTGATCTCAAAGCAGGAACTCTGCCAAGGTATTGAGGCGGCAGTAGTAAAAGCTCTTGGGCAGGCCAGTGTTTACTTATGAGGTGTGTGGGCCCCCGATTAAAGCGAGCCGATTTCCTTCCCTCTGCTGTGCGGCTTTACACCGATCTTGGATCCACCCACACGTGTTTGTGCCAATCTTAGTGAGTGCTGTACTTTATGCACCATTACCACAGCAAATGCAATGCCATTATTACATACATTGCTGTTGGGCAGTGTGGAACTATCTATATTCATCCCAAACTTAATTATTTTATCATTTACAGAACACTGTGTTTGCATGTGATTATACGTGAGAGTCGTAGTGCAGTGGTTAGTGCACTGCGCTAAAAAGCAGGCGACCCGGGTTAGATTCCCACTCACGGCCAACATTGGTGAGACATTTCTGAACTGGTCTGGGGATCCTCTCGGCTTACTCAGCCTTAAATTAGTACTTGGTGTTGTGCGTAAACAATGGCAGCGGTGAGCCAAGCTGGCCAGGAGTGGTGCTGGACATACTATCTCCACGTGCGCCATGTCAGGCTGAATAGGTGCTCGCGAACAACACTTGCCAATACATCCTGTGCAGGCGATACGGGGGATCTTAGTCTTTGTGGAAGTTGTGACAATGCGCACTCTACTACAGTTTCAGAAATTCACATGTAACGCCTGGTCTTTTGATATCAGTTTCTGGATAATATAAGTACACCTTGTTTGAAGGTCAACACCCTGCCTACGGTCAACTCGGCCAGGAAACAAGCCGTCTGTTCGACATGTCAACATTGTCGCTCGGGAAACAAGTCACATTTGTGCCCTCCATGTGCCATGCTGGCCATAATGACAATAGGTGGTTGCTAAAAACACGAGCGTTGACGGTGTGAATGTAACTTACAATGTTTTCATTTTGTTCCAAAAAAGAAAACGCTACGGAAGCGTGCCACGGAAAGCTTTTAGTGGTGCTTTCTGGTCCCATTATTGCCACTGACATAACCTGTCCCCTCGACTGTGAGGGCCCCAATTCTTAGTCGTGGCCTCTTAACATGGATCAGCTCAGGCATGAGCCGCTCATTTGCTTTCAAAGATACACAGGCAGCTTGGCTTTGGCTCAGCTCATGGGAATTCTGAGCATTGCTGGGACCATGCTCGGAGCCGGCTCAAGTTAAACGTGGTGTTAAGCCCGCTTTCTTGAGCCAGTGCCAAGCCTGAGCTGAGCCATAACTTAATACGGTGCTAACCCTTTGGCTTTTTAGCTCAAATACTGACGCTGCCACCTCTGCCGCCCGCAGCTGCGAGAAGGCCGCACGGGCCTGGGCGACCAGGTGCAGTGGGCGGACGGCTTCCTGATCGTGTACGACATCAGCGACAAGGCCTCCTTCCTGGCCGCCCAGTCCCTGGTTTACCGCATCAAGGAGTCCCACCAGGAGCTGTACAAGAGGTAACTGGATTAAGACTCGACCAGAGCCTAATAAACGTGCCTGCAGGCGCTGGCGTGCTTCCAGCGTTTTGACCAAACGATGATTTAACATATCTCTTGAGTAGTAAAAGCCTAATGTATAATCGGTATATTACACGCACAAAATGCATAGTCTTAACACTCAAGTGCGTTAAATTGAATGATTTTTGAGTCCGTGCTTGACGGATTTTTTGTTGTTGTATTAAGTACTGCTCGAACTCTGTTAAAGCTTGCGAGTAGTATTCTGTGATTAAGTGGGCGATGAAGTCAGAAGTGCCTCTGTGCTCAAATTAAATGAGCGTGAGCCGGTGCTCATTTTGCTCTGGACTGTAACGTAGTTCCATTCGTAGAATAAGACCACTGAATATTCAGATATCACAGATCTAGGCAGCTATACAAAAATATAGAGGGGGCTGAAGCAGGACTTGCAATTGAGTAACGACCTTGCTTTGATGTACATTTGAGACTCCCTAAATAGGAATAAGGCAGGGTCAGCTCATGTCAGGTCAATCGCCCTTGACACCGAAGGTTTGTGAATTTTGATGCTGTTTGGCAGGAGTGTTGGTGCCATAGAGGTGTACGATCTTGTCAAGTTTTAATGAGAGAGGTCACCAAACGCGCACGACCCGGGGATGGCTCTTTCCCCCGGATGAGACCGATGTCATCGAAGTGCCCGATAACTCTCTGCGACCAAATCGGTGCGATGGGAGAGGGCCCCACGCGTTCACCACTGCCGTGCTCACGCGCGCCCGTGCCTTGCCACGCCGCGTCTGTGCCGCCCCCGAACCCCCCCCCCCCCCCTCGCAGCGACGCGCACCCGATGCTCTGCCTTGTGGGCAACAAGCAAGACCTGTGCCACGCTCGTGAGGTCGAGGAGGAGGAGGCGCGCCTCTTCGCGCTCGAGTGCCGCGCACAGTTCTGCGAGCTGTCGGCCGCCGAGCAGAGCACCGAGGTGTCGGCGATGTTCGCGCGGCTGCTGCGCGCCACGCTGGAGTACTCGCGCGACCGCCGGAGGCACAGTGGCTCCAAGTCCATGGCCAAGCTCATCAACAACGTGTTCGGCAAGCGCCGCCAGTCCGTGTAGCGCCCGGCGCGTGCCTGCGACCCGCCCGTGCCCGCTCGCTGGACGCGTCTGTGGACTCTTGAGCGCCGACGATGTATGGTGTGCAATGCTGTGGTCGTTTTTTTTTTACTTGATTGAAAGTTCGGAGGCTTTCGTTAAAAGTCGCAAAGTAGTTGAAGGATGTGGTGCTGCGGATAGGGTTGCCATCCATCCTGGCTGTTTCCAAGGATCCTCCTATTTTTCAGTTAGCTATTCTGGGACGGTAAAAGTCCACGTTTTTTGTCACTTGCACAATAACACACCAATCAAAATAATGGATTTCCATAATTGTGAGATATTCTTCTTCACGTGACATGTCCGGGATTTTTGTAGCCCAGAGGTGGCCAGTGTAAAGTGCTGATGTAGAGGCTTTGGGATTGTGGATTACTCTGAGGAAGAGTTTGGTGGTGTGTTGGGAGGTGGGTTGGTGGGAGGTGGATCAGGATCGGAATCAGAATCATTTGTACTGGAATAATCCGAAGAGCTATAAAGCTCTCTTTCACAGATCTCCAGCAGGATTGTTGGGTGGTGGAGAGGGGAATGGTGCTACGCAGGGGCGGAGCCAGGATTTTCAACCCGGGGTGATATTCAACAAATTTTAATTTCAAGAATGATTAGAGAGTCAGGCTGTTGAACTAGACGCCATCGGTTGGCGACACACTCTGACAATGCAGTTGCACGGAGTCCGCCAGACCGAGTGTCGTACACTTATACGCAGAATGTTTCAGATTTTCGATTTTTAATTTTTTTCGGGGGTGACAATTGTCTACCCTGTCACCCCCCTGGCTCCGCCCCTGGTGCTACAGTGAAAGAAGGTGAGCGGATACACTGAGTAGTGAGCTCGTGTATTGGATGTGTGGCACGAAGAAGAGACATTCGGTTTTAACGACTGTTATGGCTGGGCAGAGCAGGAAAAGTAGGTAAGCCAGTTTTTTTTTTACGTGAGCGGTGCCGCTAATTTGGTTGCACAGAAGATGTATTAAAAAAAACTGGGTAGATTCTGGCATTTAGCCAGAAATTGGGTGGGGCAGAAATGTTTGCTAAGGGAGCACTTTATAGGCTAAGCTGGGAAACACCCCAGACGCAGTAGAGAATTTCCCCTTCAGTTGAGCAATAGAAATTTCACAGTAATCGGGGGTGGAGTCCTCCGACAGAGTATGAGATAGGACACTTATTTTGAGCAATGGAAGTTAATAAGCTGAGAAAAAAGTCGGATTTGTCTGGAAAAAGAGGAGCACTTTAGACGATGACATGAAGCTCCATAGGCGAGGCACGTCGAACACACTTGTTCACCAAAGCTAACGGCAAGAGAGCATATGACCTCCAGGAAAGGAAAGGTCAACAATACCTGGATACCATTGAGCAGGGCAAAGAACAATCAGGACCAAAGCTGACCTGGGATTCGAGCCACCCAAATTTCTCGGCAGTATTTTCCATGACTGCTAGCAGGCCAGAGTGTCCAGTCCGCCGCGTCACGGCCCTTTAAGACAAGCAGGGGCATCGTACATGCACACGAGCACCATCCGTTCATTTAAGATGAGCGTTGCTTAACCGTCACCGCAGTGCAGCCGCCGGCATTCTGGACGATGCTTCAGCACCTTCGGAGTATTCACTGACAGCAGATAGCAGCTAGGGACTTTAGAATAGTAGGCCGAGCTTTTGAACTTTGTACACATTAAATGGAAGGCTTGTTAAAGACTTTTGCAAGTTGGGCGCTTTGCCCCTGTGTTGACGGTCAACTGCCATTAAGAAATGCTTGAATTATAAATCATACAGGAAGCCAGCGTAACACATTGAACCATCCATTCAGCTCATTGTCAACAGCCAGTGCTGGTATGTGCAGGTGTAGAGAACGCACACGAGTGCAGAAAATATTTCTTTAAAAAACCCCATGCTGTCCAGAAACACTGCCCATATATTATATTGCATTGTTGGCCCAGGAATACATTTTAGCACGGTGCTTGGGCAAACCTGAGCATTTGGTGTTGAGTGTTACAGAGGCTTGCATTCTGGTTTCAGGGCTATCGAGCGTGTCTTAAGAGCAAACATTGGCCCTTTTAGTGTCAGTGCCTCTGTGTTCTCCCAGTCCCAGCCCTTCCCCTGAAAATCCTTCAATCGCAGTTTCTGGCAAATGCACTGAACTTGTTCTCTGGCTTCATATTTCAAAGGCAGACTGGCATCCTTAAGCGGGTGATAAAGTCTGTAGCATTTCTTCAAATGTTACGTTTGTTTACTTACCTAATGTTTAGTTTATCTCTATAGGGAAATGATATCTGAAGCCAAATTTTGCCCTTTTATTTTGAGTCAAGAATCCAAATGTCTGTCACTATATTTGTAAGCGCGAATAGTGTCGCGTGAACACAAATCTTGTGTTCGGTGGTGAAGACTAAGCTCACCAAGAGATAAACGCACACTTGTCACGCAGTCTCAGCAAATGTTCGGGCTGTGAGAATTAAAAGCTATTTACTTTTAACATAGCTGGCCTCATAATTTTGTTTCTAAGAGACAGTTCACCTCCTGGGGTTTGTAAGCAGTGTATTTAGCAATACAAATCATTAGATTTCACAGTGATGCTCTATACACTCTACCACCAAAGCCACTGTATAGTTGCAAAGTGTTTCCATAAGACTGTATTAACTGTTCTGACAGTGGCATTCTATACCGATTAGGATTTAAGATATAAGCAAGGTAAAATAATGATTTACAGTCCTTTGTCCTGGACTAAGGCTTCCGCACACCGTGCCAGTCGTGCAGTTGGTTTGACTATACTTCACCGCGCTGATGTGGGGGTGGTTGGCGAATGGGGGCCAAGGACGACTTCAGATATTGCTCGCCACTGATGTTAGTCACGGGCGGGAATCGAACTTTGGGTCACCAGAGTTAGTTGCGTCCGTCTGCAAACCACTGCATCCCCTCCCCCGGCGTTTTCTTCCCAGATGCTGCCGGCCAACTAACCCTGACAGTCGACTTGGTCAAACGAGCAGTGGCATTGTGTAAGCTACTGTGTAATTGATAGAACATCTCATTTGTATATCTGCCCATGTGGACCAAAGCAAACACCTGTCCATGATGCTGATGTAGAGTATATTATGTACTAGGATTCACGTTTTGAATATGGTCATGTGAAGTAAATTGTCTTGTTTGGTTGGATGTTTTCTAGGCTCTGAAATACCTATAGCGTATTAAGTCTTGACTTAAAGCTTTCGTTACTGCAGGAATTCATACGCTTTGGGTCTTTCGGTAAAGTGACGTAGATAGAAAAATAATTAGAAGAAATCACGACGTTGCGATCGAAACGTTGTGATTTTTTTATTTTTCTATCTCCGTGACTTTCCCGAAAGACCCGAAGAGTACTATACCGTATTGTTCAAGAATAAAATGACTGCTCAATGTGGTTGCATATGTACGAACACCAACCACGGTTTGATTAACAACACGATCGGAATTGGCCAAACAGCCCAAGTTTAAGACCTATTCTGAAAAAGTCTCGAGGCTTTTACTGGGTTAATAAAATATCATCACCAATTAAAAATGATTTTTTTTAAAATATATATGATAATATTGCATAGAATTATATGAGCTACTATTAGCGCAAACGTCCTACATTTTATTAAAACCCCAAAACATTAACTTATTCGACTCCCATAAATATAAGGCACTTAAGAGCTTGTATACCCACACCGTTCACAACACGTGGCGCATCCAATGCTCTTGTACAGGAGAAGGTTCACAAGCACTTTAGGATCTTGCTGTATGGCGCTGTTTTAAGTGCTGGCATCTCTTGCTCATTCGCGGTGTTCGCCGGTGTCGTTTGGGCCCGCCGTCGTTTTGTGCGTCGATGCTGCTGCTGCTGCCTGTCGCGCATTCGCATGGGAAACGTTCGTGGGGCCCCCTTCTCGCCCTCCCAACGTAGGCAGGGCATTCTAAAAGCTCCCCCTCCGTCGGCTCTGCGAACAACGTCGTGTTGTTCTACCAAAGAAGAAACGTGGTGGGTTTTTGTTATTTTTTTTTTTCGGCTGGCGATCGCGTTACAATCGTGTACATACGACACACGCCGCAAATAAACTGTAGCCTTCGTGTATTTAACAGCATTGCATTTCTAAATGTACAGTGTAAAATACGTGAACTTTTGCGTGATGATGCTTTACGTTACTGTTCATAATGTGAAGTTATTTTGTAATAAACATTCTATCCGTCTGTGAACATGCAATCGGTGTCATGTTTTTTTAAACATTTGCTTTTAATTGGCAGCCATTTCTGTCAATCCACTGCTAGATGAAGTCGGCACCAAATCAAGTCGGTCATGGAGGTTGTTTGTGATACCACATTTTAACACAAAGGCAGGTGTGATAACTGGCTAAGACCGAAATAAGTATCACGTACATTTGGACAAAATCACAATCTACGTAGTGGTTTACAACAACAAAACCATGCCTAACAGAGTCTGAATTGAGCTGCATGGAGCGTGCCTCATAATATCACTGCTTCACTCAAGACCGGCTTATTGAACCAGAACCTTGGCACATGATGGCCAACACTTGGTTGTTGTTGTTGAAAAATGCAGCCAAGGCCGATTTACAAACGCCTTCCACAGCTGCTAATCATGCTCGCTCCGCGATGTTGGTGCCCGTTTCATAATAAACAAAAAAATACAAGGGCATCTCTTCTCCCGAGTTACCGCGAGGTGCGGCAAGATGCAGCAGCGCATTTCTGTAAACCTATCTCCTCTCTGCAGTTATCATTTACCAGCGCACACGCTCCAGAACGCACACTTTTTTGTGTGTGTGTGTTCCACGCCGATGAGCCCCTTTAAAGAAATGTGCTGGCGCTTGCAGACACACTGGCGGCATTCCCAGCATGAGCAATAACCCAAGCACGCGGAGTAGCAAGAGCACAGTCCCCTTTTGCAGGGACGCGACGCTGGGTGGTTCGCATCTCGGCTCGATGTTGGAAGTCCAGTGAAGCCCCCAGGGACATGCCATCTTGTTCCCACGACCATATTCTTCTGACACGACTTATTCTGGATCGAGGGCTGTAAATAGGCGAAAAAAGGTTTGCGTGGATTTCACAAAGATTTGCTGGGTGACTTGAGCCCAGGACCAACGAGCCGCCTACAAATCCGACTCCTGGGTTTCGTTTTCGTCAAACACGGAACCTAAAGCGTCCTCCGCAAAAAAAAAGATGATCAGCACAAAGCAATGGAACTTTGCGTCGCGAGTAAGCAACAAAGCGGTGGGGGTGGGATGTCATTTCATTATTTACTCCACCGGTTTGCACGCTATTATTTTATGTTGATTTGAAGCTTTCGTGACTGCAGGAATCCATACGTCTTTGGTTCTTTCGGTAAAGTCTGCTGCTTTGTGAAGAGAAGCTGTTAACCAGCAAGAGTTTACATACGTTTTTGAGAACGCGATTTTCACCTGAAGACGGGCGCTTGTGTTGCGTTCGACGAAACGTCGTGATTTGTTTTGTTTTATTTCTACCTACGTGATTTTACCGAAAGAACCAAAGAGTATTATTTAACGATTACTTATCTCCATATATATAAAAAAGGCAAAGTTGTGAATGTGTCTGTTCAAAATGTTTAGCGTACTTCCCGACATGCAACAAACTTGAAATTTGCCATGTGGGTACATTCCAGACTGTACGCCATGCAAACATTATAAAAATACACTTTTTGGGGGGGGGTCTCAATAATGAATATATTTTTTGCACGGCAAGTCAGCTGTGACGTCAAATCTGTCACGTGACCCGCGCATGTGGAAGCGTAACGCATTGTAGTGTAGTGGTTAGCGAGCTGTCTGTGTTTCTGTCTTTGTGTCTGTGTGTCTATCTGTGTGTGTCTGTGTGTGTGTGTGAGCGATAGTGTAGCGGTTAGCGCGCTGCGCTATGAACCTGGCGACCTGGGTTCGATTCCCGCTCACGACCAACACCAGTGACGATTATCTGAACCGGTCCCGGGCCTCCCCTAGGTCGACTCAGCCTCAAATGAGTACCTGGTGCGGTGTGTAAACATCGCCACTAGGGAGACAAAGGCGGTCGGGCGTGGTGCTGGCCACCCACCCCCTCGTGTACCGTTCCGGCCTTCATAGGTGCTCGCTAACAGCACTTGCCCCTACAGTCTGTTACAGGCTATATGGGGGATCTTTGTGTGTGGAAGCGTAACGCATTGTAGTGTAGTGGTTAGCACGCTGCGCTACGAACCCGGCCACCCGAGTTCGATTCCTGCTCACGGCCACCACCGGTGACGATTATTTCAACCGCTCCTGGGCCTCCCCTAGGTCGACTCAGCCTCAAACGAGTAACTGCTGTGGTGTGTGAACATCGCCACTGGGGAGACAAAGGCGGCCGCGCGTGGTGGATTCAAGTCCCGGGCGAAGCCGGGTAGTACAGCTAGTAATGTATATTTATTTCAGCGAGCAGTGAATGAGCGATGGTACCAGCATGTAATGTCAGACAGAGTACAACGCACTCACGGGTGCGACCTCTTTTCTGCTTCCCCTTGCACTGAATTGAACGTCTGGACGAATGTGCCAAAATCACCCGCTCCCAATCTTATGATACTGTCGAGAAAGCAAAAGCCGGCTTGAGACTGGAAAGAGCTTCAGCGGGCAACCAGCCCACGCGTACACCGATGGTATAGGCCGCGGGGCTACATTGTGGGCAGCACAACTGTTATACTCCCACATCAATTGCTCCCTTCGATCAACCTACACTATCCAGCGTGGTGAAGTATGGTCAGACAAGCCCCACGACCTCACGGTGAGGAGGCCTTCATCCAGCAGTGGAGTGACAAAGGGCTGTACGTGTACATCGTGGAAACGATTTTAGATCCGATGTGGCTACCAGTGCGATTATTTACACGGAAGCAATGTTAGCAATGGTTGCACAGCGAAACAATTTTGTCTCAACCAACGCGCAGTGTCCATCCATCACACGGCAGCTAACAAACTCTTCTCTTTCCGTTTAACACGTGCTAGGCTTTCGCCACCAACATCATCCCGTAATACAGGATTTTTTTTTGGTTAGATCTCTTTCCGCTTCTTCCCGACTTAGAATTCACTCCTACCTCGATTCCTAAGCTCTTCTATCCTAGCTCAATTCACGAAAACCACTTTTAACAAATTTTATTCGTTGCTGGCCGCTTGACATTTTGGGACTGTGCTCAGCAACTGCGTTTTTAAAAATATAAATATTTTACAAAGCCTTGCCTTCGTGTTTGATCTGAATTCATCACTTGACAACTGTAACCGATTTACTGTCATTCAGTCGCTATCGCACGTTGGGTGCCACCAGTGCTGGATTAAGCTAGTGCGGGGCCTGTAGCATGTTATAAAGGGGCCCTAAATAAAATAAAAACACGTCAATATTAAAACACACAAATGTTTAACTTGCATAGTAAAGTAATGGTATTTTTGCATTTGCTATACAGCCAGATAATACGACAAATCGCAAACCTTAAACACCCAGTCGTTCATAAAAGTTGGCGGCGGTACAGTACTATAGTAATAGAGCGAGTGTAGAATCACTGAACCGGAATTGATAGCTTGAAAGCATTTAGCGCGGGGCCCTTGAAAGTGCGGGGCTCGTAGCATATGCAGCTACTTTTGCTACTCGGATCATTAATCCGGCACTGGGTACCACCACTCCGGGTGAGCATTGCACATGGGCAACGTGAGAAGGAAAAGTTCTGAAATCTATGGGTCCATGTGACAAATTACGTACAGCATGGTGACGAGGGCACACTTCGGCATCCAGTGCACTGGTGAAGCAATGCAATGTAGAACCACTTGGGATTAAGTTACAAAAAAAACACCCTCTAAATGATAGAACTGTAAGGCACGTTTTGGCCATAAGAGGAGTGCGGTTAATGTGAGATGACTTGAAAATATTGCACGTTAATTAAAACGTGAATATAAACAAAAATGTCCCTTTGCAATTCTATTTCACGTTTGGTTGGTGCATACAAAATATCCCGCAAAAATTTAAGGATGTGAAGATGAAAACTGTTTCTAATTCCAGGCCTCGACGACAACTCGAGCTGAATCGTGCATGTCTGCTGCGCAATTCACAATTACACATAGACCAGGTTATACAATCGCAGTTTGATTAACGGAAGGTATTTTGGGGATGAGTTCAGAGCCACTGATACAAAAAAATAACTTCAGAAGAGAGTTCAGCTGGTACTTTTACATTACAGGGAAGTATAAATGGTAACAGACAGATTCACAACGCTTGAATTTGTCAAAATGTTTTAAGCAGACGAATTATAATTGCACCAACCTAATATTTAATTTACTTCAAAGCACGGTTGTAAACAATAATTTAGTACAGACACGAAATATGTTAACTATTTTCACAGTATACAGAATGTTTTTAGGGTTTTTTTCCCACCAAGTGTTCTTTGTATACATTACACACAAATTATCACACCTCAATAGAAACTCCTTACAGATTGTACATTAATGTTTAATTTTAGCTCTTCTAAATATACACGTTAACATCTGAGATAGAGAATACTTTCTCGATATTGGTTATGGGAAATGTAAAAATACTCTGACCAAATGTGATTGTTAGACAATGTTCGTCTCTTGCACAATGTAGATGGAATTCCCAGCGGATGACTTCACTTGCTGCTGCTGCAGCATCGCATTAAAGAAACTTTCCATCTTCTGACAAAGCACGCTTCCCCAGCCAAACCCCGCCTTTTTCAATTGTGCTTGTCACAATTGCGCGAGTGTCTGTGGTTTGTTTTTTGTCGCTTGACCAGGCCTTTTCCATTTCCTATCATTTTCAACGCAAACAGCTATAGACAGAGGGTAGTTAGAGGAGACAAAGAGAAATCCCTTTGGTTTCTTAAAATTGCCATGCCAGATGCAACCACTGATTACTCGACTGCGAGAACAATCAGTAGGGGCGTTACAACTCAAGGAGTGATTCGTATTCTCAAATCACAGATCCACTGAATGGAATTCTCCGAATTATGCAAACAGTTTCCATGTGGGGCAACTTAGCCGTTCTGCCGTTGTTCCTGCAAAAGAGGGCATTTAATTTGTAGTGCACTTTTTTGTATTGTAAAAGCATTCCCAAAAATGCGAAAGTAACATCACTGCTTAAGGCTTAATGTAAAACCACAAATGAGCACAGCAACGCGTTATTTAGGGTATGTACAAGTTAAACTGTTATCCTCTTCTCAAAACTTCTGGATTGTCCACTTTACTTTTCAACAATCTTATACACTGCGAAGGGCAGTGTGCTTTTTAAACGTTAAAACCCTGCACCGCACCTGCGCTTCGTATCTACTACAGCAACGGTCCACAACCTTTTTGGCACCAGGGACCGGTTTCGTAGAAAAAAAAATTTCACGGACCGGGGGGGGGAGAGTTCATCATTGAGTCTTTCCCCCTTTTCAAAGAAGCTCTCCAGCTACGTTTGTTTTTTTACTCATTGTGGCTACTAGGGGTTAGCTTGAGGGCTTAACAAAACTGAGACAAGTGCGCAGTGCGGGAAAGAGGCGGACCGGTACCGGTCCGTGGCCCGGGGGTTGGGGACCCCTGAACTAGTCTAATTGGAGCAGCACAGCTGTGCAACATCAATATCGCGCTGAAAGGTAAGCGAGTGTTTCACAGCAGGGGTGATGCGAGGGTTAAACGCAGAGCCAGAGCTAAGAGACCGACCGATGAAAATGTCACGCTAGGTTCACGAGTGGACCCAAGAATGGGCAAGTGAAAACACATTGCTTTAGAATGTATGTATGTTGAACTTATTTCGCACTGTACATAGCCAACCGTGCTCATCGGAGGTGCGAATAGGTAGGTAGGTTGTACTGTAGATAGGGATCTTGTATAAATTTATATAACTCCTCTTTGTGAGAATTTTGAAAATCGATATTGCCTGCCTTCCTGTAGCATTCCAGCCTGATGCATGTCCCTGCCTTAACGATTTTTTTTTTACAAAAGTCAGATTTTTCTTAATTATGCCAACATGCGTGTCTCAACAAATGCGGCATCTTAAAATGCGGTCACATTTTACTTGCTTCATAAATTCAACTTGTATTGAACTCTACAACTCCCCTACAGTGACAGCACAATCTTCCGCTCTCCATCTTTCTTCACTACTGTGAAAGGCCATTGCCCAGATCTTGAGCTAAAACAGCTTAACGTTTTAAATGAGTGTTTGCTAAAATTCAAATGCTGCAGGATCATATTTAGCATGCAAATTGAGGACTGTTTTATTAGCAATACACAAAATTGGGACATCTCACCGCACATCCAGTCAAAGGCCGCCATGCAAGTGTTTTGATAATTTGCATTTATTTATTAAACCATTCACGTTGCAATTTGGCAATCCTCCGTTTCTGGGCTGATAAACGTGAGACAGAACTCGACCAGAATCTCTTTGTTTAGAATTAAAAAAATGCACGAACAGGCACAAACGTTGAGTTACGCAACAGACACTGCAATAGTCGTGGTACGGTACGATTCACAGGGGTACAAATCAGAACAACGTGGTACAAAACCGGTAAACTGGCCAAGCAACTTGAGTCCCACGATTATTGAAATCTAATACTAATCGTGAGACCAGGTCGTTGGTTGTTGAATGTACCATTTCAGTGGTTGAGCAAAATGTGTTTACTTCAATTTACACTTTGACTTTATAAGAACATTTTAATTACGAGAACCTGAAAACAAATGTAACACATTGTTTCAATGTGGTGAAGACTACGTTTCTCCAAGCAGAATACATAACATATTGTGTTCTTCATTTTAAGTGGCGCCTCTCATCACACCTAGAGAAAATGTGGCATTAAGTTGTGACTCTCTGTCATTGTTATTAATCTCCTTTACCACAAAAAATTGCCGAGACAAAGTAATGGCCACTTAAAACAAAGTGCAGCATCAATAAACCACAGCGTATATCACACAGTACCAGATAAAGCAAGTCATCGTTACAGCAAAATGAAAGCATTTTTAACAAAAGTTGATATGAACCCTGTCCAACGTAAAACACAGTAGTACATATATAATCTGTAAAAGCAGAAACCTTTGGTGTAATCTACACGTGTGTTCAACTCAACAACAAACCATAAGGCGCCCTTATACATCACATTACTTTTCAATTTAAATATTTGAAAAATACTACTTCGCTTACCACAACTGGACGCAACATTTTTAGATACCGCCGCCAGTAGTCGAAATGGGCCAGGATAAAACGGTAACGCCATACCGGCACTTCTCAGAACACCGTACATGTACACCGGCACTTTCTACACGGTTCCTATTCCGATACTGCAATCTTTCTGCACAAGGAAAATGAACATGGGGCTGCTGTAGGACAAATATTTATCATACTGGGAATTCTACATTTCCATTTCGCCTAGGGCCATATGGTCTATTATTAAGCAGGACAGTCTAGACAAACACCAAAAAAGTGCAAAAAAAGGTACATTTAAAATAAAAATCCTAAATTAAAATGGAGGGAAAGCAGGAATCAATATTAGATTTTGATGAGTCTTACTGTAAAACTTGATTGATGGAATATAGGAGCCACGCACTCCCTGCTGTGCCCTGGCTCTAATCGGCCCGTCTCCTTCGCGCTGGTTCTCCCTCGCCCACTTCAGCTGCCCTGCCCTGGCCATCAGCCTGCGGTGGATGCTGCCCCTGCGACTGGCTACTCAATCTGGAGCTGCCCTTGCTCCTGGCCATCGCCTTCGCCCTGTCCCTGGCCTTCTGCCTGCTGCACGTGTTGCGCTGGAGGCTCCACGTGCTGCGCTGGAGGCTCCACGTGCTGTGCTGGAGGCTGCTCTTGGTGGTGGATGGGTGCAGGTGGTGCTTCCGGATGACCGGGAGCTGGAAGAAAAAAAAATAACATACATTCGCAAATTCAAAGGATCCCTTCCCCCCACCAGCTTTAACCTTAACCATTTCACAATTCCGATGACATACGTGCATGTAAGTCGACGTGATGACGTTTACACATTGCACCAGGTACTAATTTAAAGGCTGAGTCAACATAGCAGAGGCCCAGGACGTACGTACATGTCATCAGTTTTTATTCCGATTCCATTGCAACAATGCACGTGTATGTCATCGAAATGGAACCGGAATGAAAACTAAAATAAAATAACTTTATCAGTACCGAGGCTCCCACAAGGCCATATGGGAGTCCGTGTGGGACAGTTTGGCACCAGCTATTGCAGGGTGCGGTCGTGTCGCTAGAGTTCTCTGTGGTGAGTACAATGTCTTTAACAACGGCGTTATGCCTCTAAATAAAATTACACTGAACCGCTTGCACGTTCCGAGCTTCAGCGGCGAACAGGACCCACCCTGCAACTTGGAACGGAAAGGGTAAACAGAGTGTTGGGGCAAGTGCTGTTAGTTGGCACCCATGAAGGCCAGGAGAGCACACGAGAGGGTTGGTGGCCAACACCATGCCCGGATGCCTTTGTCTGCCTCTTGGTGATGTTTACACATTGCACCAGGAGAGGCCCAGGACCAGGTCAGATAATTGTCACTGGTGTTGGCTGTGAGCGGAAATTAGTCAGGTCGCCGAGTTCGAAGCGTAGTACGCTAACCGCTACATTACTGCTACCCACACACATCCACAAGCCCCACACGCACGCACGCAACATTATGTGCTTACAAATACACACAAACGCACACATTTTTCAACGTTTTTCTATGTCCCATTTAAATATGTCATGGGGTCTCATGTACATTAATGTCAGTGCGGCAGTTATCGTGTTTGGTGTACGTGGCACTTGTCTCAATGCCACACTTCAGTGTTAAGACACTGGTGTTTGGTTTATTAGTAATATCATTGTATGGGGTTAAAGAGTTGGACTCTGGCAACTATGAAATAGGCTTCTGTATGTAGGTGCATGTGGAAGATGTTAGGAATTTTATGGCAAGATAGGAAAAGCAACATTTGGGTGTGGGTATGAGTGTGTAATTTGTAGGAGCTGGATTGAACCCATGCTGGCTGTACATGCATCAATAAGAGTGTCTGCGAGTATTTGCACACAATTTCAAAGGCACAATGAAGGTCTGTAATTATTATTTATTTTGAGTTGGCTATGTCGATCTGGTCTCTTAAGTACAGGTGAGGATTTTCTGCTTGAAAGCGATCAATTTTGAGCAAATACTAAAACGCGGTTCAATTTTATGCACAAATCATGAAATGTAAAAATCGACTCTCCATACCATTAAAAATCTTATGCACACACTCACTGAAAGTGGCATTCAGCTTTTTAGCATCTGTTGTGTAGGACTCTGTCAAGAGGCAGATGGATGGGAAAAAAAATGCTCAAAGAATAATTTAATGACCAGACATCAAATCTGTCAGCATGACAAAACCAATTTTTCCCGGATCTCTAAAATTAGACGTGGAATGCCTCTAAGTGGCGTGACTACTGCATGGACGGCAATCCAAAACCGAAGAGACGCAATCAGAACCGCATCAGATAAGAGCCACGGGGGATGTTTATCGTGCACGGCAGCAAAAGAGCTCAGGGCCCCTCATGCCCAGCTGGAGCAAACGATTGCTCTCGTGCTGCGCGCTGCAAGACGGGAGCCAGACGCACGCACAGTCTCAAGTAATATCACGTTACACAAGCACCTACACACGTTCAAATACCAGCATATTTGCGGCGCGGCTTTTGTGAAAGGATATATATCTCCCGTGGACACTTAAATATGGAAGGGGCCTGTTTTAACTGTTAGAGGGGTGTTAGTTGCCATGCAAAGTCACCATGATCTGATGCAAAAGTATGTTTTTTGGGGGGGGCATTTCGTTTGCACATCACGCTTTCAGTGCTTTTATATAGCGCAAGGAGTAACAAATTTAGCAGTTTTGTTATTTCCTGAAATAAAATACAAATAAAAGTTCATTATAAAAAATGAGCAACCAGGTTATATTACTATATATTTGATTACTATCAAAAGCATAACAAAAAACAGCCCTTTGCCAAACAACTGCTGAATAAAGGCTTTCCCACACCATGTCGGTAAGTGGGGGTTTGAAGAAATTTTGACCGCACTTTAGCACATGAGTCAGTGTCGATGAAAGTGGGATATTGTGGTGCCAGCTAAGATATGATTCGGCATAGATGTCAGCTTTGGTCAGAAAATAAAATTCAGGTTGACGAGTCCATAAACATGTTCCAAACAACTGCGTCACCGTTCAAACCGGATTGAAACTAAATCCTCGACAAAATGCATGCAAGGAGTGAATTTGTGTGTGCAGCGATTGAAGAGTCCGTGTTTAAATGCACTCATCTCTGTGCTGCAATAAACAGAGCTTACACAGGACACTGCGGTAGCACACATCAAGCTCTGACGACTAATAATTCAGTGTTCAGCCACTGTGTTTTGAAATTGTGGCTCTTAAACCATAGCAGAAATTCTTTAAAAACAGAACTCTTTGTCACCACCACAAATCATGTCCAAGCTCTTGTCGAAAAAATGGAATCCCAAAACAACCTTCCCCATTTGTTTTTGGGGGGGGTGGGGCAAAGCGGCAGGGGGGGGTTAGTAACAAATACAATATTAATGTCTAGAACTCATTTTGTCAGTAAAAGGTTTCATCACACTTAAACTCTATAAAGGATGATTACGTCAAGCTAAAAGTAAAAGGCTAAGATAAATAAATTGCTGCAAAGTATTATGACTAAGTCAGTGGTTTCCATTTGGGCAAAGTGGAGTCCTTTGTCTCCTGCTTACAACGCTGAGACGATGGTGGATATTCCACATTCCTATGGAAGTGGTGATGGAATCCATATGAAATCCACTGCTGATTTATGATTTAAAGCTTTCGTGACTGCAGGGATTCATATTCTTGGTTCTTTCGGTAAAGTCACGTAGAAGGGAAACAATAAAATAATAAAAATATAAGACAATACAATTCTCACGACGTTTCGACTGCAACACAAGCAATCATCATCAGGTGTGTTGCAGTCGAAACGTCGTGAGAATTTTATTGTTTCCCTTCTACATGACTTTACCGAAAGAACCAAGAATATGAACCACTGCTAATTGTTCGCAAAGCAGCACTTATTTTGTTGACTCCAAAGTCAATCGTTTTGTTTAAACCCCTTACCAGGAGTTGAACTCACAACCTTATGATTGAGTGATGCTTGCTCTCACCACCGAATCACCCTGTGCATTACAGTGCCCCTGTGTACTCTCTAGGGCGTCAAACTTGAGCTACCCTGTCTACAATAATTCAATGAAAGTGCTCAATACTTATTGTATCTTGAAGAATTGTTGCATTTCCTACCTGTGCCAGAGTTATTTTATTTATTGACACAACAACAACTTCGTTCCCATAAAGATAAATCAAACTGGCCAAGAACAGTAATTTCCAGCATCAGATAAAGACCTGAGGAAGCTATTTTATAACTATCATCAGTTTTGGCAGTACACACCCACTCGCTGGATCACAGCTGGGCCAACAGAAACACTCGCGCGAGAACCAATGGTTGGGTAAGGAAATCTCGCCTCAAATTTTGATCTCGTTTGTGGCAGTCAAAGTTATTGGTGTAGCCTTGTGAATTAAACATCTGCCAACAAACTGCTTAATTCCTTTAAAACGTATTGCACTCTCATGAAGGAGAATACAGCCTAACATTTCTACCAATAGCACTCACTCACAGCCCGAGTTATCTTCTGCTCAAGTAAGCATTGAGGCTGTGTCCATATCCTTCTTACAGTCGAGAACCAGTGGCAGAAACTCGAGATTCCAATGTGCGGGGGTGAGGAGTCTTTCCTGAGGACAACCGCTGTTGAATTTCCGGCAAAGTGATGCATGTACTCATTTGATCGATTCGGGAGTCAGAGGTCAGCAACCGAAATAACAAGGAGAGCCATTTTTTCGAATTCGGTAATAAAAAATTAATATTGCGACGTTTCTCTAGTAATTGCAACGAGCTTCATCAGGCGACAGCCAGATTTGTGGAGCAGTTTTAACGACAAATTTATATATTTACGCGCCCTAACCCAAAAACCTATTTTATGGATGATATTGGTTGCGAAAGCCTACGTGTTAGAATAGAGGCGTAGATGTGACGACATCACTTGTGAGCACTTCTTGCACGAAGTGGGGGGGGAGGGGGGGTTAATGAATGCATATAAATTACTATGGGTATGCATTGCCGTGTTGGTTATTTATATGGTAATCAACGTACATTATGCAAACCCATTGTTCTTGTACATCCTGTCGGTTGTGTGGACTAAAACAGCCGTACCAACGGTAATCCCTATTGAAGTATGGTCACCTGTATAGGCACGCATTTAAACAAAGTATAATTTGATGATTCGCTCCCAATTAGCAGTAAGTCTGTAGCTATCCGACCGGTTAAAATGATTATTTCTCTCAATTTCGATAGATGATCTAATTAAGTCTTGGCCGGTAGTAGCTAGCTTTGCACAGAACTTCAACATTATCAAAATCAATTGAGTGTCCTTGTTGGCACGCGTGTTCTGCCACTGCTTACAGATGTATTTGGGAGTACAGTAAAACCTTGGATTGCGAGCATAATTCGTTCCGGAAACGTGTTTGTAATCCAAAGCACTCGTATATCAAAGCACTCGTATATCAGTTGTGATCACGTGACGTTCGGCAGACAAAGCGTATACGTGCTGCTCGTATTGCAAGACCCTCGCTCGTTTATCAAATTAATATTTATTTTAAAAATTTGCTCGTCTCGCAAAACACTCGCAGACCAAGTTACTCGCAATCCAAGGTTTTACTGTATTTAATATTGATTTGGTGTCCTTTTAGTCTCGTGCTGATCATTCATCCTGTTTGTCCAACATAGCATTGCCACAAGTAGCTTCGGTAATACATCTTTTGTCGCAGATATTACTTTCTGTATTCTATGTAACTGTGCCAAATCTGACTCAAGATGTTTTGATTTTCCAAGCGTCTGGCTAGTTTATTAGTTACTCCCACAATACACGGTATTTTAATAGTTTTTATTACTTGGTCAGTTTCAATGCTCGTATTATTTGATTTGGTTTTAACATTCAATGCCCTGTTGATTTGTCCATCATTGTAACCGTTCAAATGCAGCACTTCTTTAACGTGTTAATTTTCACCTCTCAGACTATCACCATCTGGCACTTTCTGAGCCCGATGTATGAGCATCTTCATGAGAGCGGATTTCTGTGTGGGGTGATGTGGTGTGACTGTATTGAGATTAGCGTTAGTGTGCGTCTTCTTTCGATAAACGCTGTGTTATTTTATGACGCATTTATATATTTATGCGATCTAACCCAAAAAAAACTTACATTATGGATATTGGTCATGAAAGCGTACGTGTTAAACTGTAACAAAATATATAACCATCTCTATATAACCATGCATTCATCAATGACATTCAAATGGAATCTTACCTTATTATATAATGCAATGTTAACAATCAGAGCATAGCAAACGAAAGTTTTTGTTTTGTATTTAATGTTCCCTTGATTTGTTGTACTCTTAAGCCTACCTGATATGTGGATGAGGAATTCATGCGCTAAGTTGTACTGGCTACATATATCAGGTGTACTGCCCCACGGCAGATATGGGGGTGTGTTTACACAGGAGCTTCCTGATATGACGGTGTTGAGCTTGGTCACGCGAACAGGAAGTTACGAGTTAAGTCACGAGGCCAGGCAGGAGTGTCGGCCATTGCAAAGAGTACAAAATGGAGGCACAATTAGTGTCTCAGTGAAGACGGGTGCATCTGTTCATTGCGGGACTTGAAGAGGCATTGTCTGTAAGTTCGTTTATGTTCTCATAATACTGGGAATGCTGTTATAATGTTAGGATTGCCGTTACAATGCTGTAAATGCCTTTATAATGCTGTTAAATTGTTATAATGAATATGATGCCTAGTTAAGAACGAAGCCTGCCACTTGCATTATTGTGAATATTATTTGTAGTTGGATAAGTCGCAGCCAAACTTGTGCCCATGTAACTTTAATGCATTCTTGAGAGCAAGGATGAACAAGTATCTTATCCACATTTCGATTTAAAGCTTTCGTGACTGCAATGATTCATCTTCTTTGGTTCTTTCGGTAAAGTCACGTAGAATGAGAATAAAATAATAAATTGATAAAATAAAATAACACAATAATATTCTCACGACGTTTCGGCCACAACACAAGCGGCCTTCATCAGGTGAAGGGACGAGACTGTCTGGTAGGACAGCGCTGGAGTGAAAGAGCCACGTTCAGTGAGAGGAACAAAGCGCCTTGACAAAGGAATTAGCATATAATTTAGCATTGAAATGGCTGAATGATTAGCTTGTGACTCATAGAATTTAGCATTGAAATAGCTAAGTTAAAGCATACACATCCGCAGAGGCACCCCTTGACAATGGAATTAGCATAGAATTTAGCATTGAAATAGCTGAGTGATTAGCTTGTAACTGCTCACAGAAATTGCTACGTTAAAGTCAGAGCATACACATTCACCGAGGCACTTAGTACAAATCAAACAGGAGAATTTAGCATTGAAATAACTAGGCGAATTTAGCATTGAAATAACTGAGTGATTAGCTAGTGACTGGTCACAGAAATGACTATGTTGACGTCAAGGCCTACACATCTGAGCTATTCACAGTACTATATAGTGAACCAATAAAAAACTAAAATATAAATTACCTTAATGTTATCAATAAACTCTATATTCTCCAATCAGCTAAGCTACCAACAATAAGTCGTTATATATCAAGTATAGCTATTCAGTGCTAATGTAGGTGTCTGGTCCATCCAGGACCTATTGTTGAGATTGCAGCACAAGCAATCATCATCAGGTTGTGTTGTTGATTGCTTGTGTTGCAGTTGAAACGTCGTAAGAATTTTATTGTTTTATATTTTTATTATTTTATTGTTTCCCTTCTACGTGACTTTACCGAAAGAACCAAGAATATGATTTGGTAAATTTGCAACACAAGGTCAAAATAAAAACAACGTCTTGGTTGTCAATGCTGATAAAGAGAACCCTAAGAATCAGGGGCGGAGCCAGGGGGGTGACAGGGGTGACATTCTGCGTATAAGTGTACGACACTCGGTCTGGCGGACTCCGTGCAACTGCATTGTCAGAGTGTGTCGCCAACCGATGGCGTCTAGTCCAACAGCCCGACTGTCTAAATCATTCTTGAAATTAACATTTGTTGAATGTCACCCCGGCCTGAAATCCTGGCTCCGCCCCTGCTAAGAATAATGTAGTGCTGCCACCCTACATTCTCAATCACGATATGGAATGAAAAACAAATGTCAAGATGGTCTTATTTTTTAAAGAGTGCAATTTGAATGGGATTTTTAATAATAAACAAAGAGACAAAGACAAATATACGAGAGATTGCTAGCAGCACACAGAGGCCTTCACGAGAGCCACTTAAAGATGCAGTGTAGGCTGGTAAGTATAACCCGGAGGACGTTTGTGGAACCTGCCATCAACGCAGGCCTTTGAAAATGCTTGTCATTTGCCCAGATAAATCCTCAGCTATGCCCACGCATCATTCATGAATATGAATAGACTGTCTGCCATTCTAATCCAAACTTCATTTGTATCATTAACTGTGAGCTTGGCGACTTTTATCTTAAGAGGGTTTCTCTACTTGATTTAAAATGTTTACAAGGGGACTATCCTTTAATGTTCTTAGCATGCGCCTTTTAGATAAATATGTACAGATACTTCTGCCCTCGACATAATGAACACACACGTACGCTTGTGTAAAGACTGTCAGGGCCAGCCTTTTAAGGCACGTTTTTGATAAACTCAATTCTGAGGCGAAAGAGGTGACCTCAGCTTGATTTTCGTGGAGCCTTGTAGTTACTACTGGACATCTGTAAAAAATAACTTAACAGCTCATCGGATTCCTCCAGCCTAAATAAATATTCTGATACTTCTGAACCCTGTCAAATAAATTCACTGTGTTGTTTAGCACGTGTCGTGACGGGTATTGCAAGATCCGACCATGTCTGTCCAGTGCTCGCTGAGCTGCATTGGCTTCCGGTTGCCGAACGAACACATTATGAGGTCGCACTCGTTACACACAAAGTGTGTATGCCACAAATGAACCACGATAACTTGTGGATCTCATCAAGGAGCATAAACCATCACGTGAACACCGGTCATCCTCGCAGTGGCTTGTGGTTAGCTTATTGAACAAAAATGGTCACTGCATTGTGCGCTTTCAGATGCGCTTCTGTAGCCATCTGGAAAGCGCTTCCTTCCGATACTAAGAAAGCACTGGAGCTACGCACTTTAAAATCTAGATTGAAATACTAATTTGTTCAGAACTGCTTGTTGTTATGTTTAATTTTGTTGTCCTTCCCCTGCACCTCCAATTAGCACGGTCAGCTAAGCTACGTACGGTGCAAAAGTAGTTTTACATACACACATAGCTGAGATGTACACAGCCCGTGGTTGGGGACAAAAATGAGGATGAGAAGGGCTAAAGCACGTTTACCTTGAGCGTGTGGGTCCTCTTCTACGGGGTGTGGCACATCCCCCAAGCTGTTGGGTTGTCCTGGAGGTGGCAACCGCCCTTGCTGCTGCTGTTGCTGCTTCTTATTCTCCATCTGTTTCACCGCCTCCGTATAGGGAAGCGTATGATCAAGGGGGGGTCAACAGATCATTTTGCGAAAATCATTGCTGACATTTCAACGCTTCATAGTACTCACAATTGCTTCACAGAGATAATGTCTTAAACTCAGCCGACACTCTTTGAGCTCAGATGGCACATCTACTTGATTACGTTAACGTACTGAAACTTTTTCAACTCCTTCCACGGCTAGCATCTGCTGAACCTACCTAAACAGAGCCAGGGTCAAAGTGTATTTCGACCATTGGGGAAGCACTCAAATCTGTTGGCAGCACATAACTAGAGCAAAATAAACGATATTCCAATAACAGGGTCCAGTTTATCCACAATATGGTGACTGTTGTCTTCTCACTTAGCTGATTATTCACCCTGAAAGGTTAATGGGCTGAATCGACCCCCCAACCAAGGTTAACATTTCTGACTTTGATTGTTAGTTCAGAACTCTATCAATGGTACCACCAGTTTGCATTAATTTACATTGAGATACTTTATCTTCAAACTTAGAAATCAGAAAAAATAGAACCTGGGAACAACAGAAAAGATTTGTGGCTCCATCCCATCCAATCAGGAAGACCTTGAAGAATTACAGTTACTGTATAATAACAGCTTATGGTGTGGGCTTTTTAACTGCATGGGATAATAGTTTGGGGGGGGGGAAAACTCCCACTTTGTTAAAAATTCATGTTTCATAAAACGCTGTGTGCATTCCATCCACATGGTGATTGCAGCAATTTCAGTCGTGTGTTTTTTTTCTTCTAAAAACCAATGCTGGATTTAACTGCAATAATACAGCAGCCATGTGTTAACCTCGTCAGGCCTGATTATACAGGCACGCAAGTGATGGTGTCGACCTGACTGAAATCGGGTTCGTTCTCAGCCAAAAAGTGCCTTGAAACCGACTATGAATAGACATGGAAGGGTTACATCAACATTGATTTTATTGATTCATGAAAGTGTTTTTGAGTTGTACGAATACTCTCCAACACACCGCCAGTAGTGGACTTCTGAAGCAGTGGTAAATTTAGCATCTTTGATTCATATAACAATTTTATAAATTGCCTGTGTAGGATGGATGAGGGTTTACGACACATTTTTACACGACCTAACCCAAAACCAACAATGAATCATATTGGTCGTGAACGCCTATGTATAAATATTGCTTATAGTATCACATGAACAACAACACTGAAACGCATGGAGTTGGGTATATAAACCATGCATAAAACATATTAATAATCTGGAGAGCCACTAATTTAAACTAATAACTCATTGAAAGGAAAGTTCATGCAACTTTAAAATATAAGTGCTGTACTACTATTGTTACAGATTGTTGAAATGATATACATAAATAAAATATTAAAATACAAGTTGTGAAATTCAACAACACGATTTCGCAGTCGTGTTGCATAGCTCTGATGTGATTTGTTGTTCTGGAAGAAGCTCTCCGCACATGGCGCGAAATACGGGGCACCGTGTCAAACAACACACGCGGTAATAACCCGAAAAGACATCAGAAAGTTAACTCAACACAGGATTTAGCAGCGATTATTATGATTTGAATTTATTTTTGGGTTAGCCCACAATGACTTGGACAATTTGAGTCCAAAGTCCCTTCACCACCTGACAGCCAAATGAATTAAGTTGCCACGTGTACAAGCATTTGAATGCGGCAATTATTATTGTTTCAGCTCACCAGGTAACGTTTAAGAAAAAAATGTCTACAAATCTAGGGATTTATAAATTATATATGGCATTTCACTTGAAACTGCATCCAGTATCTTGAAGAAAATCCAGACTAAAATTCAAGAAGTCAGAATAACTGCATCATCAGTAGCTATAGAATTGTTAAAATAAAATTGATCGTTGAGTTTCGTCGCTCCGGCCTGAGGTAGGCCCATCTGGTCGCAGTACCTGCTGGTATTCCTTGCGCTTGCCCTCCAGCTCGTTCTGCTGCTTGCGCAGCTCCTCGTGCTGCTGCTGCAGCTCGCTGGCCTTCTGCTGCAGCTGGGTCTCCTGCTCCATAAGCTGGTGCTCAAAGTGCTGCAGCTCCTCCTCAGTGTACACCTCCATCTCGTCCACTGTCTGCTTGGCACGCGAAAGAAGGGGAAGCGCAACGAGGTTTAGTTGCGTTCACCTCCTAACAAGAAGGGGCCTGACACATTCAAATAATGCCAGCCTGTTGGGGCCTTCACTTGGTGTGGCGCCCCTACAGCTTTGGATTGGTGACTAATGATGATTATTGTGATAAAGCTCTCCCGTGCTATCATCATTCCTCACAATGCCGCAAAACAAAAATCCACCTCTCCCTTCTGCACTTGAACTTATCTCATTGCTCCCTTTATTCGGTGACTGTCCTCTCGGGCCTCTTCTCTTGTTTGAGCTCCAATCTGTCACCAGCCTTTCCCGTCGGCAATCATCAACATCCAGTGATGTGTCCTGCCCAAGCCCACTTTTCTAAATGGTCAAAATGTACGATTTCAGAACTAAAACCTTCACAAGCACATGCAGGTGTAAAGCAGAAATCATGTCTGTCATTCATTACATCCATTTATTTTACGTATTAATTAAGGTATATACCGTGTAGACACTTGAAAAATGGTATTCAATCTTTCCTAGACCTCTAAATGCATACCTGGGTATGCTATGCTAAAGTTAGCAATGGGGAGACAAAGTTAACCAATCGTGTTGCTAAATACCATTTCATATCCTGTTCCAGCCTCAATAGGAGCTTTCTAATAGCAACTTCCCTGGCAGCCTATTGGGTTAAATTGGCGTGATATTTGAAAGTAAAATGTATGTTTGGCTGTAAAAAATTTTTTTACAGACATTTCCTATTAAACTTTTGGCAACAGGCACAGCTGGTGTGTCACATCACAGAGTGCGGATATGGTGGTGGCGTCGTGTCTATTTGGACAGACATTCAATGCAGGAAACCAGACACAGGAAAGGCAATTCCTTTCATCTTCTCCCGTCCACGTTTCAACCACCCAGACTCCTTAACTCCTTCGATGTAATGACCCCCAGCCATTTAAAAACTGAACCACTGTAAGGGGTTTTGACATTATTAAGCAAGCTTTTTTTTCCACTTTTCATTTCGAAAAGCCATTGCTTCATCAAACTGCACAATTGTGGTTACACAAGAGTGTTTTTTTTTCCCTTGATGTGCATTAGGGTGACAATACATACCATGATATTTTAAAGCTGCTTTATATAAACAATACATGAGAAAGGTGCCAGTCCACTGCGTAGCTACAGCTTGACTTTTAAAATCTCAACACCCAAGATCTTGACATAATTTAAATTAATTATATTTATTCTAATGTAAATATATAATTTTCAACACACAAGTACAATTATGCATGTGCAAGCATGCGTGCACGTGTTGTATTACCACACACAGTACAAACATACATTTTTCCCCTTATTGAACATTCCGCACACTAATTTCAGCAGTGTTGCATGAATCCGAAATGGTCCCAATTGACTGCATGTATCTTTTTTTTAATCAAATGTACAGCATATCACCGAGACTATTAAACACTCCCAAAGGTAAACAAGCACCATCCTTTGCAGAGCCGGCACAGCTTAAAGTACACGTGGCTTTAATACAAAGAGAATTCCACAAAGATTATACACCCTGAGCCAAGCGTTTGTGCACAACACCGGGGCAAGATGGGGAACAATAACATCGGGAGAGATTTCCCACTGCTTCTTTCTGACACTCATCCCAAGCGAGAGTGTCTTTACACTTTAAGACGATCGATCTAGTGAGCATTCCATTAGAAACTTAACTCTTCATGACATACTTTGGTATCATAAGCAATGGCAACCAGGAATTCTGGTGGAGACCCATATCCATGGGATGAGATTGAGAACAACAGTAAATGATCACTTAATTAACTGCTGGGGCTATATTTAACGTGGAATTATAAATACAAAGCAAGTTTGTGAGTGACATGCAGCGGCATAGCAGTGGAGGAGGCATCCCAGTTGGTATGCAATTTCAGACATAATATGGAAACAAGAGACATTTTTGGCCATTGAATAACAAACACATGAGTGGATGCCACCGTGTATATATTGTCGTGATTGTTCTTGTAAAGGTCCTTTAATCTGTGAGTAAACTGTCTTGTCAGATGTTCAAATAAGAAATATATAACTGTGTGGTGTGTCATGCTTCAGCCTCTTAAAATCAGATCACTAATACTGGCTGGACCAGCCAAACAGTATAATGGTTATATGGTACATTTCAGAGCAGTAGAAATTATGAGACCCTTCAACATGGTTTTATGAAATAGATTATTAGATTGATGAACAGCCTTAGTTTTTGGAATTTACTAACCACACGCATACAAATATTAATTATATTGTATGAATACATGAATGTGGCTTCATAATATGTTTAACAATGTGTTGATGGAATGTCTTTGGGGTATTTAATAGAGATATTATGAAAACCTCTACGTCTACATTACAGATGAGATCACCTCACCTGAGAACGTATATTTTCATCACAATTTGGCATTATACAGGATCAAAATACAAAGCGATCTCCTTTTGATGTCATACAGGCTGATGATAGGGTAACCACAGATGCATAAGGGGCAGGGAGGGATAGTGAATCAGGGTTTAAGTTCAGTTGTAAACATCATGTTTCATCAGCGGGCAAGCATCATTATGACGGAGAGGAAATGGCAGACCATTTTAGACTTTAGAAACAGCAGAGGAGGAGTGACTGGCCATTGTGAGAAGGTTGAGATGGAGTGGTTCCCATTCCTCTATGAAATATGTATTTAGATAGACCTGCGTTGAATATTAGGCTTTAGTGATTGCACAATAAAGTTTGGATGCCAGTGCATGAATGATGCAGGACTCTATCTCAATGAGGATAACAGTGTAGAACTATATATGGGTATATAATTATTCGTTTTTCAATCTGAATGTTTTTGATATACAAATGAAATAACACGGCGCTTTGGAACGTCACCGTTTGTCCCGGGCAAAATACGAGAATAATAAATTATCTGAACAAATCTGATTTATACGAGCAGCGTTCTGCCCGCAGCATCAGGGAACATATTTTTTGTAAACTTGCCTATTTCAAAACCAAACTTCAAAACGATTCATAATGTCGCAGCAATTATATAACTCTACTATATTCCAGAAATCTGGTGGCAACACGCTGCACACGCGCGTTGAATTTTGACAGTCAAATGCCAACATTTTTTGTCAGCCGCAAATGAAGCGTTTACATTGACAGCCAAGATAGGCAGCTAAAAAAAACGAGCTTTACTATCGAGGCCAAGTTTCTTGCTGTTAAATCCAACACAAGCATGGCTTCTCTGGGGAGCCACTGCGATCTCAACAGCAGCAGCAGCGCTCCACTGGAATGCATGTTCTTATAGCGGCAAATTCCAAGGCATGAGCTCTTGCCCCCGATGTCTGCTGTGCCCCTTGGCTTTGCTGGGCTGGACCTGTTGCACTAAAACATGGCACAGTTTATAAATTAAATTTCCGTTATTAAATTGTGGCGCTAGGAACCAGATTTTCTCTCAGGATTTCACCAAGCTAAGTAAAAACCCATGTTTTAAATTCACCCGCAGGTACCGTTTGCCATCATTGGTGAAAAAAAAAACCCAGCTGTGTGAACACGTGCGTCTCCACAAGGAACAATGACGTACAAGGGCGGTTAAAATTTCCGGGATGAGATACTAACTAAAACAAACGCCTCAACTAACCTAAGGTTAGGCTTACTTGAAGCCCCACCAATATGCGATCATCGTAAGATATGCACTTATGTTTGCAATAACTGTACTAAATAAACTGTAAAGCCGGCCCATTAAGAGAAGCTGCATTTTGTGAGGGGATATGACAATATGAAACACACGGGTGCTTGGAAATAAGCAATAACAACGACCAGCGGCGGTGCGTGAAGTCAGGTTACCCCCACACACACGGGCACTCGTGCAAAGCCTGGTCTCTCCAGTTCTCACCTGGTCAAATAAATAAACTTGACTCGATTTGTACAAACGATGCATGCTCATTGTCCTGGCGGGCAGCATAACATGATGTGTTTATTGTTTTTTTTTGCGCTAAAAGAGTTTTGGAAATGATGGTACTTGACTGGTTTTGTGGATTTTCTGAATACATCGCAAGTCTCCCCACAGATGAATGGATGGGCCGGATGGAAAGACAGATATTTCTTGTGCATAGAAATAAGCAGCCTATCGAATCCTTTACAAGTAAGTTTTGCACAATATTTTGCAAACATACCTCGTGTCTATGTATTAAATAAATATTAATGCATTACAAGAAATTGAAATAAAGGCCAGACATCCATGGACGTGTGTGGAAGGAAAACATTCCACTGTACTGTAAAGGAAAACAGAAAGACAACATTTGTTTCTCTGGATGGTAACCACATTTTGTGTATGATGAGTTACTGCCCTTTGTAAATCCACTGCTCAATGAACACCCCCCACCCACACAACTTGTGGGTAATGGTCGCTGTTTGATTACACGTCACAACGCTGGTCAGTGCAAGCTGAGGGGGGTGGGGATAGGACCAGTTCAGATATCGCTTGCCACCGGTCTTGGCTGTGGCTGGATATCAAACTCAGGTTACCACATTAGTTCAGTGCTCAAACCACTGTGCCACTATATTCTTGGTTCTTTCGGTAAAGTCCAAATATAGATAGCATATGAACAATGGTGTTATCCCTCTGCAGTGAGATTATAATTGAGAAAATCAAATAGATTTCCTTAGGCTGCAGCCTAGTCAATATATTAATATGTATGTTGGCACAACTAAGCATTTGTCTGTGGAAACGATACTCACTTTCAAAGGTCCTATTGAGCTGGCAAATTCTACAAGTGGACTCTTCTTGTCAGCCTGTCCCCCTTATAAGTGCCCCTTGAGAACACTATTGCGTGGTGCCAAGTACCCATGATGCATTTCTCTTTGCAAGCATGTATTTACCATTCACTAATGCTTATGAATCGAAGCCCTCAATGAGGGATTCATATATACTTGTTCAATGCACTATATTGAAGTCGGGGATGCAAATGGTTGCTGTCTTTAT